GAGGCATTATTTTTACTAATTTTCAGCGATTTTCACACAAAAATTAATTAAGTTACAATAATGTTGAGTTACACTGACAAGCCGGCTTCTCTGCGTTTAGGTAAACACCGAAAATGCACTAAACACAAGTTCAATCTCTGTGATTTCTTTATATCTTAACTAATATAAAATTTTACTGCTTCAAGCACACGATTAACGTCTATTTTATTAAAATGTTCACTGCAATCGTAATGGATTGGAAATTTTATTGGTTGTGCAATTCGATAATTTTATTACGAATTCGTTCCACGTTTATGCAAACATCAAGTGTCGCGGGATTCTCTATGTCGATCCCGCCAGAACAAATTATTTAATCCAATCGCAGTGACCTGTTCAATTCGGTTTCATTATCGAAAATATCGAAGACGTTAATGTTATGCTGGAAAAAATAAAAAAGTAACGCATGTATGTACACATAAATTTGGAATTATCTAGAATGTTTTAAATAAAACAATGAGGTATCTTATATTGTTTTTTCTATCTTTAAAAGAAAATATAATGAAAGACGATTCCGAAAAAGTAATACAAATTTTAATTCCAATATGTGATGTACCGAACGTAACTTAACGTAACTCGTGTTCATTACAATGAAAAGTAAGGAAGTCAGTTTTATTCGCGAGAACTTACAGCTCTACAATTAAATTTAATGATTGTGAATCACCGAGTTTGGGATTAATCGTCGTACGAATAGAAAAATTAATTTTTAGCGCGACGTTAAGTTCTTCAAATTAATTAGTGATTCACACAATGATGTCGTTTCTCTTTCATCTGAGGCAATCGACTGCGGCTTTGACGATTAACTTTTCAATTAGTTATCTAGGTAACTGAAAAGTCTTTAAGATAGACAAGATTCAATAAACTTATGTAAATCGACTTTTGCCTTACAATTTTTAGTAATTTAAAAGAACGTTTACTTGAAAATTTTAATTAGTCAGACAAGAAAAACAATTAGTGTATACGCGCAATTCCAATATTAAGCAAAAAGTAAATAATTAAAAAAATCCCGTCATCCAACGACTATATAATATTCGATAAAAGTCATTAATTACAATATACTTCAATGGAATTTTACAAATATTCAGATTTAAAAAGAACTAATTTGAGTATTGTACCTATAATTTCTAAAAGTAAATGTTGCTTCCCCTTTTAAATAGAATGTATTTTCTTTAAATCAAAGCGACTAACTTTACAGTGCAAGATTCTTAAAAAAATTCTCGTTTTGCATCATCGAATTCTATTGAAATAAATGTCAGTTAAAATAAAGTGCAGGTACTATATATTTTGTGTGTAGCCGACATACGAACGAGCTGCGTCGCAGAATTAGGAATTTAATTTACTGCCGGTAATTTTTCTATAATATTTCAAAGGAAAATTCATTTACTGAGCATACCGCGCCTTAAAAAAAACAGATAACGCTGACATACAATTAAAATGAAAAAGAGAATTGGATTAATTGTGAAGCATAACCTTCGAAGAGAATTACACACTGAGCGTTGCACGCAATTCCCCGATCACCTCATCTATCTAGATAATTAATTAATCCACAGAAATAACTTCGCAAATAGCCTCGTTATTAGCTTCGTCAGTCAATCGAAAGTGCAATTCGACGAAACGCGAAATCGACTCTTGAATTATCAACTTCATTCCTAGATAATCGATACTGTTGACCCTCTTAGAAATCGGTGTTTTTGAATTCGTTGCCCAATTGACATGATAACGTACACTCGAAAATGATGTATTAATAAACTGTATATGAGAGAGAGAGAGAGAGAGAGAGAGAGAGAGAGAGAGAGGAAGAAATGCCGTTACTCAAAATTTCCGTAAAAAGAAAGTTCAATCAACGAAAGATCGGAGAAAAACAAAAGAAAAGTCTAAAAAATATATCAAAGATTGTACAGTATTTCTGTCGCTGCAAATTCTGTTTAAATTTCTACACGATGCACGCTCCATTTACATGCTGCGCCCATTTTTTATGTAACTTAATTTTCGGTTAAACAAACAGAACGAGTGGCAGCCATCATAGCGTCCGTAACATCTGCGAGCTTGATTTCTAGCATTCTCCTAAATTGTTCAAAGCTCCTTCCTCCTTTTTTCGATAACACTATACGAAATATCAGACCAAAACCAATTGCTCCGCAGATCAATAAGATATCTCTCTCTCTCTCCGTCCCTCCCTCTCTCTCTAAGACATTACACTTTCATTGATCCTCAAAAATAATTTTCACGAATACGCCACCGCGACGGGGTGATAGCAAATATTATACGGTGGATAAAATCCATTTTGCAAGTCGAAATTTTTCATCGCGAACCGCGCTAAAGTCGCTAAACCGATGATACACCACAGCAGCGTAGCGCTTGAAAGCAGGTCAACGACATCATGCAACCTCGAGTGCAGTTGCCACATTCCAATTCGCTGGTCGATCGACAAATAGCTCCGATCAGTCTTATCAATTTTCACCCGCGGACGCCTGCGTTCGTCCTGCTATTCCCAATCCTAGCGTCCACCCCGTGCTCTCTACGAACCTTCTCTTACAACAAGGAAATCCTATCCAAGCACCAAAGAAATCACGTTTTCTCATCTTGACAACCCTTCCGTTTCCTCGACATGAAGGGGCTTGTCTCAAAAAACTTGCGCACCACGCGTGGTCCGCGTACTTTCCGATACGCGACCACTTCGGTCTCACTAAGCGTACTCGGGTGTTCAAGGGAGAATTTCAAGAATTTTCTCGCGTCGAAAACGAAAAATCACCCCCCCCCCCCCGAACGCGCCCGGTTTCGATCGCGCTTGTCCGCGGCACCGCTTCCCTTTCACCTCCCTCGCGAGCTTTCACTGCCGCGAGCCTTCGCGGTGTAACGGAGGGATGCGGAGACCGCGCGAGAGCGATAGTCGGTGGTGCTGCACGGACTGACTCTACACGGTCCTTGCGACCGTGTGCGCCTTCTGGCCGGGTCGCCGTTTCTCTGGCAATGCCATTTTGTGACTCGTCCGTACGCGGGCGCCACTGAGGACGGTCGGACGACACCCCCGTTACTATATCGATCCGAGGGGTGCTCCGTTCTCAGCTCCGCTCCGCTCCGCTTCGCCGCGTCCTCCTCCGCAAGCCACCCGGAGTGCGACCCGCACGACAACGCCAGGCCACTGCACCCTCACGGCAACGTGTCCGGTGTACATGCATACAGCGTCGCTCAAGAATAACCGACTGATCGCGGGGACGAGGGGGGTTGAATTGCCAAACGTACATACACACACGTACACGCGCGATCGTGTGCAGGCATAGATTGTTCATTTGAGGGAAAAAATGAAGGATAGAAATTCCTCCCCTTTCCTCTTGCATTTTTGTACCTAGTTTTATTAAATTTCTCGCGAGACCTGGGTAAAGCCGAGTCAACGAGATTACTTTTTGGTGTAACAAGTGAAAATATATGATCGATACGTCCAATCGATACGCGTTCCATTTTCTATTTTTATTGCCAGATAACGCGGAACATTTCAAGTTTCTCTTCTCGAGCAATTATGAGCCATTATGTTTATCTGGCGTGGAAATGAATCTTGCGTGCTGATAGTACGTGACCAATAACTGGCAGCGTTCTCTTATCGAGCGCGATCCTAATCTGCCGCCCGGGCTTTTATTGTCGTTAGCATCGTATTGGAATGAAACAATGATGATTTCTTTTTAAAGCCAGTCCGCTTTTATTCGCGGCATGATCGCGTATAAGTGTCCCATATGTTATAAACGGGGGGGAGTTGCAGATAAAGATTATTACTCTTATCTCGATCGGTGTCGACCCACGGCAACCTTTGTACCGCCTATGTACCGTCCGCGATCAACTTTCTATAAACAAACGTTGCGCAAACATTGAAAATTACTCCGCGAAGAATCGTGCCGATGATAACAGTTTTCAGCTCGTAGTTATTCCCGCTTTTTGTGAATATTTTACGCACAATTGTCATTGCAATGGCCTGCGTGTGCAATAGGGAATTTGGCTAAATAACCTTACGCATCCCTCGACGATAGCAATAAAAATGAAACGATATCAAATGTAAAGGTAATAATGTTAAAAATAGCGTGTAAAGAATTAAGCTATTTTCTGCAGTCGGTTTCATCCGACTGCAAATCTAGGTCATGTATATAGGTCACGCAGGGTGCGTGCGTGTGCCGCCCTCTTTTAGTCCGCTGTCCTTCGGTTCTGCAGTCTAAATTGCAGTCAACTCTAAAGGTTACTGCAGATATTACTTTATTCTCTTTTCTTTCACTATTTTCGTTGTTTAAAGCTGCCGCTTCTCGACTCCCATTCGTTTATACAATTTCGACAAATTTAGATGTTTAATTACGTTAGTTCCATTAAAAGGAAATAAGGTCGAAATTACTTGACGCGTTTTGCAGCTAAAAAAAGGTATGAGAAATCCAGAACACCCTATAGATGTATGCGGGGTAACGGCTTCGATCTCGAAATCGCAGTTCATAAATAAATGATCGGCGAACTATACGAGTGTGACGGCAGCTCCTTTCATCGCGGTCACGTGGCGCAAAAATAAAATTTAAGAGCATCGTGCTTGTAAAGATAGAACGCGCATATTTGCGATACGCTTTGGTACTCGCTTTTACAAACATTTATGTACAGCACGAAGTTGCCCGACAGAAATATCATAATTATTAAATAAAGTATCTCTTAGATATCGATCTGCCTCATGCATGCGGATTCTGTTTTATTATCATAAAATATTCTCAAACTCCGATATTTTTGTCAGTGAATCTTTATTCGCGTATTAAAAATTTCGATGTTAATAGTCTTTCGAAATATAAGAAATTTATTGCAAGGTATTTTGTCACAGGAATTTTTAGTCGATCGAAGGACGCTATTTGCTATTTTACACAGAGATTTTCGGTACTGTTTTAACATCTAGTCGCTTTGCCTCAAAAGCAGAATGCAGAAATATCATAATCAGACTTTTGATTTACCCTTCTTCTTCCAAAAGGCTTGTAATGCTCCCGCCTCATTGGACGCCGTAGATGTGCCATCTTGAGAAGCAAAAGTTGACGTACGGAAGCTCGAGGTGCACCAAAGATATTACGATGCTTGTTGCCACCGAAGAGAAGAGGGTTACGCGCGTCTCCAGTCGACTGGAGTAATTTTCGTCAGCTTCGCGAGTCCGTCAACTTCCGACACGAGATTCGTCGAGTTCTGGTTCGGAGCCGCATTTATCACGACCTACCGCCTGCCTTCATTTAATTTGCTCGACACAAATACACGGCACACATAGAGTTCCATGTAGGATAGGTGCATCGAAATAGGACCCGTCGATTCAGACGCTCGATTAAAGATTTAAGAAATTAAGTTATCGCTTCTCGCCATAATTGATGGATGACAGACTTTTACAATTACTAGTTGAGGATTGAGATTATTAGAATTGCTTACTGGATTCCACAAAATCTTGCTTTGATATGCATTTGACATTATGACAATATCTGTATTTATTATGGAATATACGAGTAATTCTTTTTCACTTCTCTATTCAAATTTATGATATGCGGTTTAACGTTTAGTTCCAATTTTTATCTATGACGCTGTTTAATGCATTCTAAATAGACTTTGAATTTATCAGGCTTCTCTTATTTCGCACCGAATGCCAATTTGAACTTTTGAAAGCGTCCTCGTTTTCAAACTTCTCGCTTTTATATAAACTAGCCGACTGTGTAATGGTATAAATGATATAACTATGCATGTATACTCGATATTCGAATGAATGGTATCATATTTTCGAGAAAATACCGTGTCTTCTGAAAATTGGAATTCGCTGCTCTAGAATCGCCCGATCTTTGGATCGATGCCGACAAGTTAGTGTAACAGTCTGTGACATCTTCAAGAGTATATCGGACATATAAATCTCTCTAGCCCTGACCTTGACTCATCAGCATCAATTTTTAGCATCAACGATAAACCTCGACAGTGATCAATTCTGCAATTATTATTAAAGAATTGCATTCTGGGCCATATAATTCAGCCTCTAATTTTGCAAGGCATAAAACAGCAGATTAAATAAAATTAAAACAAGATATTGATGAAGTTACGCGTTCCAAATTAGTTACGTTTCACTACATTTTTGTCGCGCTTGGAGACCAAATAATGGTTTGTTAAAAATAATTGCAATTTTATAATAAATTATATCTCGGTTTCTAATCGTGCTTAGAAATTCAGAAATCTGGCCGTAAAATCATGGCAATCCATAAGCAATTCCGAGATACGTTAATCCTAATAAACGTGGTGATTAATCATTGTAGTTTGCACCGACGCAAGGGCCTCGATCAATCTACCTATCAATAAACGAGTTTTTAACCATGCGCGACACGTGAAACTTCAACTCCACTATATTAACACCAAATCGATCACTTTGTTACCCAGCTGCAGCGGTACAAAAGTCACATGTTCCTTTCCCAGAGGGCCCTAGAACTCCGATCGAAGCAACGTACACGAGTTATCGCCGCGATAGGAGACCGGTTTGCGATTTTCAAAAAAGAGAAAAACTTTTCCCTTCAAGTTATAGATCCGATCTATCAATGGGTCGATTTTTAAGTTCCGGTGCGAGACGAGCTCGGTGTGAATGTGCTGGTGATACTGGTGAGTCGAGGAGCTTTTAGATCCCACCGCGACCTCCTCCGCTATAAATAAAACAGCCGCCACACCGAAAACTGCCAGCGCGAGACGGGTAACGTCGATTCGCTGTAATTTTCCTGGTAGAACTTTGCAAATTTTTCCGGCTGACGACAGTTAGTCGGAATAAAACGCTGACTTCTTCCGAACGTATTGATTTGTGTGCCCAAAGATATTTTTCTTAATATCTCCTCTGCATACGTTCTCAAGTTTTTCGCCACCTCTGTGTCTCAATTTGTTATACGTCAAATAATATAATTATTACAATGTTTTAATGAACTTTGACGATTCGTTCTCTCATTCTATATGGTCCTTTTTGTTGTAAATTTTGCGGTGGATTCTCAGCGAATCTATTTTTAACTGCTTATTTTAGAGTTTCATAATTATTTTTGTGCCATTAAAATTGTACTTCCTAGAACTGTTTTGAATACTCTATTGCCAGTTGGCTCGTCAATGGTAAATTTATATGGATTCGTATGGCTCTTGGTAGGATTAATATGACTTTTGTATGTTTATTAGAAGAAACTTATTTTTAAAAAATTAATTTCATAGTTTTTCGAGAGAAATCTTGTTTTCTTCAATGTGTTAAAATTACAACTTCTTATTAAAACACATTAACATTTACAAGTATTATGAAACAATTGAAAGAAGTCAAATGAAAAGTACTGCAACGTCGAAGATATAAAAGTTTCTTTAAATACATACATATATTTCATGTTTAATTAGAAGTGTGAAATCATGTGCAGTCGATCAACAATAGATTTCTTCTTTGTGGATAAATTTTTCATAGTTTTCATTTTTCTTCTTTTCCATTTAAACGTTTACGTGCCTATTTTATTTTAAGTAAAACAAATGTTAGCTGAAGAAGAAAACCACGAGAAAATGAATGTCTTCTTCTGTTGAAGATCAGTTGAAATATTATCTTAGTCAGGTAACCAACTAATATTTGAAATACTGTGTCTTACCAGCAGCTACAAAGGTTTATACTGTCATGCCCATTCTACA